GGGTTAGAGTTAGGGGTTAGGGTTAGGGGTTAGGGTTAGAGTTAGGGGTTAGAGTAGGGGTTAGAGTCAGGGGTTAGAGTTAGGGGTTAGAGTTAGGGGTTAGGGTTAGAGTTAGGGGTTAGAGTTAGGGGTTAGGGTTAGAGTTAGGGGTTAGGGTTAGAGTTAGGGGTTAGAGTTAGGGGTTAGGGTTAGAGTTAGGGGTTAGGGTTAGAGTTAGGGGTTAGAGTTAGGGGTTAGGGTTAGAGTTAGGGGTTAGGGTTAGAGTTAGGGGTTAGGGTTAGAGTTATGGGTTAGGGTTAGGTGTTAGGTGTTAGTCCTCCGGATTGGGGTCTCGCTTCTCTTCAGCTGACACTTTAGTAATTGAGGCCTTTGGGGGGATTTGTTGGGTGAATCCTGAGAGTGAATGTCGGGTGAATCCTCAGAGTGAATGTCGGGTGAATCCTGAGAGTGAATGTTGGGTGAACCCTGAGAGTGAATGTTGGGTGAACCCTGAGAGTGAATGTTGGGTGAATCCTGAGAGTGAATGTTGGGTGAATCCTGAGAGTGAATGTTGGGTGAAACCTGAGAGTGAATGTTGGGTGAATCCTGAGAGTGAATGTTGGGTGAACCTCACTCTGACCTCATTCATGTTGTGATTTTACTTGTCATGATTTTCATTCTCTTATCACAGTCGGTTCCTCCATCCCACCCTCTCACCCTCCTGCAGCTACAGATGGGGCAGCAGGGGCAGCAGTCACTGATCATGCCAGCTTAGTGAATGGTATGTCCATCGGTGAATCTTCTCTCTGTGTAGTGTCTGTTTATTGATCTTACTAGTCGGGGGATCTGGGGAATTGGGGGGCCCCGCGTGTGACCCCGTATCTGTCTCTGTGCCGGTCTTCTCCCTCCCTGATAGTCAGGATCTGTCATGGCGATCCTCTATGCCGGCCCCCGGGTCAGAGCTTCCGCCCCCATGACGTCATACATGTGGGGTACCAACATGTCCCCGCGGGCCGCGGCATTGAAGGGCATTGCTCCCCCATCCTCACCTATCCAGAGACATCCCCCAACCCGGGGAGGGTTCAGTGATGGCGGAAGGAAGGACACGGCTGGGTTGTAGTTCAGAATGAGGAAGACGACCTTCCATGAGACAGATGACGGGTGAATATCGGTGTAACCGGGAAACATGAGTGAATGATAGCGGTGAATCCCGGACTGTCTGTAGGGGATTTGTTCATCTGTCTTGTGATTTGTTGGGTCCGATGTTTCATGTTCTGTGTTCTGTTCAACTTCCTCTGTGCAGGAAAAATGCCGGAGGGGAATGTGGACACCATCCAGAACAAAGGTGAGTCCTGAGCATGGGGGAGGGGCACGCATCCCACCGGGAGAACATTCATCTCCGCTCCCCCTTCCCACAGTCCCCTCCCCCTTCCCACAGTCCCCTCCCCCTTCCCACAGTCCTCCATCCTTCCTCTCCACA